ACCCCCCCCCCCTCCCCTGACTGAGCCAAATCATTCTTCATTTGTGTGTCACATGTTCCCTCTCTCAGGTACAGCTCCTCACAGAAACAGAAGCAGTGCTGTCAATCCAGAAAGCAGTGGGCAGGACTAGGTGTTACCAGGTGGTGATTGACAAGCTACAAGCAATTCCAATAGCTTTGCCACCTGCAACATCTTCTCGTCCCACCGAGGTTCAAGCTGGCACAGTCTACATGAGGGTGACAACTCTGCTCTGAATTCAGGAGCAATGCAGCCTTGTTGCAACCCCATCACAGAAAGCTGCCTTTGGTGGACTTCACTTGCAGGATCAACAGGTATTTGTGGGACTTTGTGGGGGGACTAAAAGAAAACAGTAAGTGCAGGTGGACTTTAGTTTGTGTCCTCCCGTTACCCTAAGGAGAACTATGGGGAAAAGCCCTGACCCCATAGTTCTCCTTTAAAGTGATCCTTTTCTTTATCCATGCAAGGCAACGGAAAAGGGTCACATAGACCCCGACTTCCTTCCCAGCACCATATACTCATGTTTCCACCCACAACATTCAGTCATCAGACCAGGAAAAAAAGCCCCATGTAAGCTCCAAATCTAATTGTCAGACCTCACACAGGCCTATGGACTCTTTCGCTACATCCGGGTGACAGCATTGGGCCAATTATGAGACACCAACACTTGCTGAACAATATCCAGACATGGCGGGTATTTTAAATTGATCCAAGTGACTGAACTGGGTGAGGAGACATTAGATCATGTTGATGGTGATGGGGTTGGGGCATCATCAGCATGGAAAAGGGTCACTTTAATTTTCAGTTTTGACTGAAGAGAAACTGATGTCACCTAATGATCTGGCCAAATTTAGGAAATTCTTACAAAATTGTCCACGCATTATTATGGGTTCCCCTAGTAAACAAATCTGTTCTGAAATATCAATCTAATACACAACGTGGCTATCAAGGTGTTTCTACTAGATATTAGTTTCTTGAAAAATATGGAATTTGGGGGATATGTTTGCATTTCCCAAAATGCGTGTAGCGACCCTGCCCTCCGCAGTTGTGTCACTATTACATTTAGTGTGTTTATGGCGGGACTGTAGTCAGTGTTGGTATCAATTGTCCTCAGTTCTGCAGGATCTCCCTAAGCCTCATAGGGTGATTATTTCCACCTCTTGCTAGGATGGAGCCTCAGCATTCAGTGCCGGAGAGTCAACTACACGGTTATGACTATACATCTGACTCTGACCAACCTCTGAGCAGGCTGACTCAAAGGTATGGTTGGGGGAGATGATAATAATTTGGGAACACCTTTCCAGAAAGTTCTCTTTACCTGGGGCTTCTCCCTGGGAGGAGGTCTGTGTGACTGTGATGACTAGGCTTGGGCCTCAGCATGTGCCAAGGGGCTCGGAGGCCTAACTTATGGCTGGACTTGATACTTTATGGAGGCTGAGCTGGAGAAGGATCTTCTTGCTGGAGAATGTCATAGAGGAGCAGCCGTCTGGACATTGTAAGAAGAATTCGCCGATCAGCTACCGTTACCAGAGGAACAGAAGCCAGTTGTCACGCCGCAAGGACTGTGACTACTCTTACAGACTCATAGATTTTCTGGTCTGTTTACTGTTCAAGAACCTATTTTTGGTTGCTCTCTTAGGACCTGATGCTATTACTATTACGATTGGAGAAGACACTGTCCTCTATTTTTGTGTTTTCGGGTTTCCTGCAACCCTCTCTCCTAGGTTTTATATCACTGAGCAATGAATCTTAAAAAGACCAAGAGACTCAAGCCTGTTCTTTACAAGGGCCAGAAACTGCTAAATAGGAATCGGGACCCAAAAACACAAGCAGCTCCTTCGGGGGTGGGTCCCAAGAAGAAAGTATGCCAAAGTCATCTCAGTAGCTGCTACTGTCTTGATAGGCTGCAACTTCTAAAAGCCTAATTTTGCTCACAGCATGGCTGTCTTGCCTGGGGGGTGGTCAGCATATACACCGAAGGGCCCTCTCAGGAACAAAGAGGTGTGAAAGACACTTACCTGGGATCTGGGAACACAAAGCAAAAAAAAACAATTTCATAATGTGCAAATAAAAACCCTCTTATTGTAAATCCTGGCGCAAACACATGAATCACACTGTATGCAGACACACCCACTCCTGGAGGCATCGCTAGCTAGCGGGATTGTGTGGTGGAACCAGGGTGAGAAAGACCTCTCCAGTGATGAGGGTGGACATCAGACGCCAGGAGTCGGGACTAGAAATCGATTTACACATTTTTTTTTATCCTGTAGTGGCTGCTGGGTTGGAAGAAAGATGGTGGATCCTGACCAATGTAACTGTTTCTGCTGATGTTCAGTACATAACCATCCCTTTAAATGTTTCTTCTAATAAAATGAGATGGTCAAAGGGTTTCTATCTCCTCCCCTGTCCTAATAATAGTAATAATAATAATAATAAAACTGAGCTGTGGTGCACATTGAGGGCATTAAAATGCTGCTATCAGCCATAAATGGTCTACTTTTAGACCGGCCTCTGTGCATATTCTATTCCATACTTTAAAGGAGAACTATGGGTTCAGTGTTTTTCCCCATAGTTCTCCTAAGGGTAACGGGAGGACACAAACTAGCGCCATCCGTCACCCAAAGCTCACTAAAGTGTTGGTGATAACCTATAGGGAAGGCGCCGGGCCTGGAGTTTGTGGAAACCCTTTAGTGCCGAGATTATCTGTGTAAGTGTGAAGTGGGTTTTTCTTTTTCACTGAATCGTAAGAAGTTAATTTCTTTAAAGGAGAACTATGGGGGTCAGTGTTTTTCCCCATAGTTCTCCTCAGGGTCACGGGAGGACATAAACAAACCCTCCTCCCGTGACCCAAAGCTCCGTATATTGCGAGCTACAGCTCCCGGTATACTGAGACGCCGCAGCCGGGACAGATCCCAACATTACTGTCTGGATCCACTCAGCTGCGTGAGTGACAGCTGGCTCTGCCTATCTAGAGCCAGCTGTACCCGCCCCCTCCCCCGTCCGTTCCGCCAGTCAGCGCTGGAGGATCGGAAAGGGGAGGGGGGATACCTGCAGGGAGCCGTGAGTGACAGTCACGGCTCTCTGCACGGACAGGATCGAGAAGTGAGCGGGCGACGGTATGTGTTCGCTCACCTCCCGATCTACTGAGCCGACCTGTGACAGTCTCATTGTCACAGGTCGGCTAGAACTATGAAGCTGAGTGATTTTCACTCGCCTCATAGTTCTCCTTTAATAATAATAAAATGAGCTGGGGTGCACATTGAGGGCATTAAAATGTTGCTATCAGCCATAAATGGTCTACTTTTGACCCAGCCTCTGTGCATATTGTATTCCATACTCCAAGGATCATCACTTACCACCTCTATTAAAATGTAATTAACCACTAAATGCTGTTTGAGAAACATAAGGGGTGTCCTTACTTTTTCTCATGTGACCAATCTGTGTTTTCTCATTCATTTAGAATATGAGAAGGATTACACCGCGTCAATCTGATGGGCCATTTGTTCCATCACCCGTATCTGTAGGCACCATTTGAAGGAGGATCTCAAGTTTGACGTTTCAAATATGTGAAAGGCAGCAATCTTTGTGCTTTTTTCGCATGACCGCATTATCTTGTGCCTTGTCCTATGTCTCCTACTCACTTGTAAAGCTTTTCGGGAAGGCCCCGATTTGCGATGAATAAAAGTCATTTAGGAAATAAGGTCATCGGAGCATTAACCCCTTCATGACTGAGGCTTTTTTTTTTTTTTTGCACCCATGTTATATTTCACATGTTAGGCCTGAAAATTACTTAAAACCCCCCAAACATGATATATTTTCTGAAAGCCAAAACCCTATAGAATAAAAGGGTGGCAGTTGCAAATTTTTATGCTGCACAATATTAGCACAACTCCTTATCAAACCCCAAAATGTAGTGAAAAATGCACTTAAATGCCCCAAAGGGTTTAATTAGCATTAGACCTTCACCTCAACAAATGCTCTATTTTTCTTCCTGCTAATGAATATTAAAAAGTTTTAGAAAGTAATTATACACACTGATATTACTGAGAAGTGCAAAGTATATATTATACAAAGTTCTGTCTAGATTAATTGGTGGCACATATCAACAGAGAGAGCAACCTGATATGGTGGTCCTTCTTATCTAGGCCTATGGGTCACCTAGGGCAGTTGTATCTTTATCTTTACAATATTTTCTTAGATGGACTTTGGTTTAGTTGTTTTGGCAAAAGAAATGGATCAAATAAATTTCCAATATCAAGTAATTTTCTAGAAAATTCCATGTAATGCAATAGTTTTAAATCGGGGCCCATTAGCTTGTATTAAGATGGTGACAATTTGAGTTACGACCCTGGAAGCGTCCAGTAATTTTCCTGCAAGCATGAAAAATTGATAAAACCTGAGAGCAATTTGGGAACCTCACCAACTGAAGAGTATTTTCATGGCATCAAAAAACCCAATAGATCCACCACATTGCAACCCGAAGACCAGCTAGAGATGGGAGCGAGCAAGCAAAAGGGTGTAGCAGACCAGTGCAGTTCAGTGCAGTGACACAAGCAGTGATGAGTGACAGGGGATATGCACAATTGCTGCGCCCAGGGAAGAGGGTTAGGCAGGTTAGAAGGGGAAGGGGGGAGTGGGGGGGTTAGGGTAGGGCGTGGGTGTTAGAAGGGTCCGGGCCGTGCATCATTACCCCTTGACATAGATGTCTGACATCTTCTCTCCTGTCATGAAAGCATCATCTTCTAGAATCACTTCATCAGTATTCCAAATTATAATACGTAGTTCAAAACTAGTTGTCAAGAGTGCGACGGTAAACACGAGGTAGACAAAGAAACCAAAAGAAAAAAAAAAAGGGAGCAAAAAAAAAAAAAGCAAAAATTCTGTTATTCACACACAACACAAAAGCGTAAAACCGGCAACAAAGGCAGCATGGGAACTGGTGTGTGCGGAGCCACAAGTGTACACAGAAGCCCACACACACAACACAAAGTCAACCTTTTGTCACTCGTACCTACCCCCTGACAAAAATGTCACTAGACTTTTCTCCTGTGAAGTAATCATCATCTTCCAGGATTACCTCATCGGTATTCCAAATTATCACTCTAAGCTCGTATCTGGCAAGGAGATAGTGAGACAAGTGAGACTTGGGCACATAGGGACCGAGCACACGAGGGGGAATTGTTTGGAAGTGGTAGATCATCTCCTTTGTTCTAGAATCTTGAATCCACCCAGTTGATGGACAGAAGTCCAAGTGGTGTCATCATTTCTAGAGGTGATGCCTATTTTCCAGAAAAGTCCATAGTTGGGTGGGCTCCATAATGACTGTCAACTGGAGGAATGGTTTCATCTGCCAGGACATTATTTTGGCGAGTTCAGAGTGATATCAAAATGATCAAAACATATCCCAAAACGGATCCCGACATACTAAAACAATACAATAGCGAGCTTTGTGCCTGGACATAGCAGACAATGCACTGGAGCGAATCCTTCAGATACGAGGCTGAATTCATACAGATGGAACACTGTCCTCTTAGACAATGTAAGGTCCCCTTATTAAAGGAGAACTATGGGGTCAGTGTTTTTCCCCATAGTTCTCCTAAGGGTAACGGGAGGACACAAACTAGCGTTCTCCCGTCACCCAAAGCTCAGTATACTGCGAGCTACAGCTCCCTGTATACTGAGACGCCACAGCCGGGACGGATCCCGACATTACTGTCTGGATCCACCCAGCTGCGTGATTGACAGCTGGCTCTGCCTATCTAGAGGCAGAGCCAGCTGTACCCTCCACCATCCTTTCCGCCAGTCAGCGCTGGAGGTTTGGACAGGGGAGGGGGGGGGGATCCCTGCAGGGACCCCTTGAGTGACAGTCACGGATCTCTGCAGGGATAGATTGAGAAGATCACTGAATTGTAAGAAGTTAATTTCTTTAAAGGAGAACTATTGGGTCAGTGTTTTTCCCCATAGTTCTCCTCAGGGTCACGGGAGGACATAAACAAACCCTCCTCTCGTGACCCAAAGCTCAGTATATTGCGAGCTACAGCTCCCGGTATACTGAGACGCCACAGCCGGGACAGATCCCAACATTACTGTCTGGATCGACCCAGCTGCGTGAGTGACAGCGGGCTCTGCCTATCTAGAGCCAGCTGTACCCGCCCCCTCCACCGTCCGTTCCGCCAGTCAGCGCTGGAGGATCGGCAAGGGGAGGGGGGATACCTGCAGGGAGCCGTGAGTGACAGTCACGGCTCTCTGCAGGGACAGGATCGAGAACTGAGCGGGCGACGGTATGTGTTCGCTCACTTCCCGATCTATTGAGCCGACCTGTGACCGTTTCATTGTCACATGTCGGCTAGTACTATGGGGCTGAGTGATTTTCACTCGCCTCATAGTTCTCCTTTAAGATACAAAGGTTTATACTGTAATTATAACACCCCTTCAGGGTTATACAGTGTAACCCTGAAAGGGCAGAAGTGGTCCTTGGCAAAGGCTCAGTCATTGTGCCAACATCCAAGCATGGAGTCCTGTCAGTTGCCCAGAATAGCAGTGTTCTTTCTGTAGCTTCAGTACCCACCAATACAGAGGTCAATTCATAATACAAAACACGCAATGTCAACACTTAATGCATTTTACTTGTTTTTTTGATATTTACAACTGATCTATAGCCACTCAGTACAGTTCTATTTGTACGTTGTATTTCCAATGCCCAGTTATGTTATAACATGTATGTACAACCTGTGAATTCCAAGCCATCAAATTTGAACTCACCCTATGGCAGCTGGAGAATGTCTGTGGCTGCCATGCGCAGAAGTCCCTGGGAGTTAGCACAGTGCAGCCAACGGCATGCCCGTATGATTCTTATTTATTACTGGTCTTTACACAGTATATTGCTATCATTTCTTCTATGGCAACATTACATTTATAGACCATGATGTGGTCAGGGCATGTTTTCCTATTATCACACCTTCAGACCAGTCCCTATATTACTGCTCCGAGACGGCTTGGCAGGAGTCAATTCTCGAACTGCCATTGAAGCAAGTAAAAGGTAATGGATTAATATGGTGACACTTGTACAGTTGCATGACCTGAGGTTTTTCTAGATGCCTACTGCTCAGGTTTAACATGCTCATGAAGCAAAGTACAAAGCAAAATTATCTTTAAGTTCTATGGAAGATCATACACTATATTGCCAAAAGTATTGGGCCCCTCCCCCTCCAAATCACTGGATTCGGGTGTTCCGTGACATTTCCTTGCTACTAAATATTCCGTGGTCACCTGTTACTGGGATTATAACAAAGTGGATGACATTACTGTCTGGATCCACCCAGCTGCGTGATTGACAGCTGGCTCTGCCTATCTAGAGGCAGAGCCAGCTGTACCCTCCACCATCCTTTCCGCCAGTCAGCGCTGGAGGTTTGGACAGGGGAGGGGGGGGGGATCCCTGCAGGGACCCCTTGAGTGACAGTCACGGATCTCTGCAGGGATAGATTGAGAAGATCACTGAATTGTAAGAAGTTAATTTCTTTAAAGGAGAACTATTGGGTCAGTGTTTTTCCCCATAGTTCTCCTCAGGGTCACGGGAGGACATAAACAAACCCTCCTCTCGTGACCCAAAGCTCAGTATATTGCGAGCTACAGCTCCCGGTATACTGAGACGCCACAGCCGGGACAGATCCCAACATTACTGTCTGGATCGACCCAGCTGCGTGAGTGACAGCGGGCTCTGCCTATCTAGAGCCAGCTGTACCCGCCCCCTCCACCGTCCGTTCCGCCAGTCAGCGCTGGAGGATCGGAAAGGGGAGGGGGGATACCTGCAGGGAGCCGTGAGTGACAGTCACGGCTCTCTGCAGGGACAGGATCGAGAACTGAGCGGGCGACGGTATGTGTTCGCTCACTTCCCGATCTATTGAGCCGACCTGTGACCGTTTCATTGTCACATGTCGGCTAGTACTATGGGGCTGAGTGATTTTCACTCGCCTCATAGTTCTCCTTTAAGATACAAAGGTTTATACTGTAATTATAACACCCCTTCAGGGTTATACAGTGTAACCCTGAAAGGGCAGAAGTGGTCCTTGGCAAAGGCTCAGTCATTGTGCCAACATCCAAGCATGGAGTCCTGTCAGTTGCCCAGAATAGCAGTGTTCTTTCTGTAGCTTCAGTACCCACCAATACAGAGGTCAATTCATAATACAAAACACGCAATGTCAACACTTAATGCATTTTACTTGTTTTTTTGATATTTACAACTGATCTATAGCCACTCAGTACAGTTCTATTTGTACGTTGTATTTCCAATGCCCAGTTATGTTATAACATGTATGTACAACCTGTGAATTCCAAGCCATCAAATTTGAACTCACCCTATGGCAGCTGGAGAATGTCTGTGGCTGCCATGCGCAGAAGTCCCTGGGAGTTAGCACAGTGCAGCCAACGGCATGCCCGTATGATTCTTATTTATTACTGGTCTTTACACAGTATATTGCTATCATTTCTTCTATGGCAACATTACATTTATAGACCATGATGTGGTCAGGGCATGTTTTCCTATTATCACACCTTCAGACCAGTCCCTATATTACTGCTCCGAGACGGCTTGGCAGGAGTCAATTCTCGAACTGCCATTGAAGCAAGTAAAAGGTAATGGATTAATATGGTGACACTTGTACAGTTGCATGACCTGAGGTTTTTCTAGATGCCTACTGCTCAGGTTTAACATGCTCATGAAGCAAAGTACAAAGCAAAATTATCTTTAAGTTCTATGGAAGATCATACTGGGGAGGGGGGGGGGAACGTGACTGGCCGCACAGAGTCCTGACCTCACCCCCATAGAACACCTTTGGGATGAATTAGAGCGGAGACTGCGAGCCCAGCCTTCTCCCCCAACATCAGCACCTGACCTCACAAATGGTCCAACATTCCCATAGACACACTCCTAAACCTTGTGGACGCCTTCCCAGAATAGTTGAAGCTGTTATAGCGTCAAAGGGCGGAGCCAACCCAATACTGAACCCTACAGACTATAACCGGGATGCCATTAAAGTTCATGTACGTGTAAAGGCCGGCGTCCCAATACTTTTGGCAATATAGTGTATATAAAGCTATTTTTGGCAAATGTGGTCCAGGTTCCAGGGAAAGGCTTTGGATAAGTCAGATGTTAGCACGGAGATTTGACATTTACTCATTAGGATAATATTCATTTCTTAGAACATGAAGGGAAAATTGATAAATAACAATGTTTTCCCCTTTAAACGCTTAAGGACCAATGATGGAATTATTACATCATGGTTGTCCGTGCCATAAGGAAGACGGAATAATTACATCATAGGTCCTTAAGGGTTTAAGCTTCTGTCATGCACTAAATGCGAACTCACATATGCATACGTCACAGCGAATTAAAGCCCTTTATGTCCTTTAAAAAACTATATATAATATGCGTTGGTCCAATAAATGAGAAGGGTGTAAATTGCGGTTGAAGACACATAGCAAAAATTGCTTTGGTCCTTAAAAGAGAACTACGGGGTAAGTATTTTCCCCCAAAGTTCTCCTAAGGGTCACAGGAGGACACATACTAACCTCCTTCCAGGACCCAAAGCTCTGTATATAGGGAGCTACAGCTCGCGGTATACTGAGACTTCTGCAGCTGGGACGGATCCCGACATTACTGTCAAGATCCACCAAGCTGCGTGAGTGACAGCTGGCTCTGCCTATCTAGAGCTGTGTCCACCCCCTCCCCCAAGGGGAGGGGGGGGGGAGTCCCTGCAGGGAGCCGCGACTGACAGTCACCTCTCTCTGCAGGGAGATGATCGAGAAGTGAGCGAGCGACGGTATGTGTTCTATCACTTCCCGATCTATTGAGCCGACGTGTGACAGTCTCATTGCCACACGTCGGCTCGAACTATGAGGATGAGTGATTTTTACTCGCTTCATAGTTCTCCTTTAACTGAAATACAAGCATCTGAAGCTTGGTCCTTAAGTGGCTAAAGTGTGTGGGCTCCCCTAAGCCTAAAAATGGACTGCACCCCAGACTGAAAATTAATGTCTAATGGTTAGGTAACTATCTTGCCAAGAATGAATGCATCAATGTCATCCCAGTGGGATCTCCATACTGTCTGATCTATTGTGTTTGAGTCAACTTTGACTCATGGTAACCCCTCAGATAGCTGTCCTATTGGTATTATCCACTGGGATGGGGTGGGGTGGGGTTAGCAAAATACAGAGATGGAAATAGATTTCCAGGTCTTATTTTCACATGATTTCGGATGCTGGCCAACTGCCAGGTATCCTACTAACAGTCGGCAGAACAATGTCCCTAAGGGGAATTGGACCCAAGGGCCCATCCCTGCAAGGTCATCATGCTTACCACCTAGCCACAAGGCTCTCATCTGTATTACTTAATAAACTAATAATTACAAATTCAGCAAATGTAGCGTGACTTCTTCATTATGTGTGACGTATGATACGTAAGTATCACAAGGAATGAAATTAACCAGTTGTAAAAACCAGTTGGAAAGTCTGTGGCCAGCACTGGACTTCTCACAGCAGGCACTGTCTTAAGTATGACTTGGTTCAATTGACATAAAAGGACCATTTTTTGAAATGGAGAACATTTTAAGAACCCAGAACATTTTTTTTTCCTGTACCTTTTTGGTTTCCTTGGAGAGATATCGATGGCGGGACCTGGAGCTGGCATGTCCATGGGGAACATATCCACCCACATTTCTAAACGACCCTGCAAGAGAGAAGACTTGCTCAATGTTTGCCTCATGCATCAGAGAAGTCATTGGTTTCTTTACGGCTACAAATTGCTGCACTGAACAAAATGGCTGACAACACTATGTACGAAAAGACGGTCCACTGCATTACAAACATCATCACATTCCTCTGAATATGACCTTTTGAGTTTATTTCACCTGTTCAATTCCTGGCTTGTCTGGATTTAACAGGGGTCGCGTCTCTACGTGTTCCGGGATCAACCGACAGCCAACTCGCGGGATCTCCTCCCAATGGTGAAGAACTGAAAGGGCCAAATGTTCGTCTGTCTGTTTCTTCTGACCTGTAGGTACAATATTGCGGATGATCTCATCAAAGTGGGTTTGGAGAATTATTGAAGCATCAACAAGTCTTTATTCTCACATACACCCCTCTTTGCCTTCTTCTGTCCTCAAATCAGTTGAGCCTTGGCCTTTGTTTAAACAATGGTTCACAATTGCTTCCCACAAGGCCAACCAAGGCCCGGCCTCGGGGTAGCAGGGAGTAGTGGGGCAGCAGTGGTGTGGAATTCCTATCTCCCGATGCCCGGGCGGGTAGTTGTTTTCTACTTTTAGCCCTGCTTTGGGCAAGCCGAGCTAAATGTACAGCGGGGTAAGCCGCCGCTTGTTTTGCACAAGTGATCTCAGCGACATTGTATGCAGCCTGCAGGTCTGCCATGCTCCATGGGGGGGGGGGGGGGGGGGGGGTGGGGGGGGGGGGGGGGGGCGGGGTTAGCGGGTAGGGAGGAGCATTGAGGAAGCAGAGAGTAAATCCGTCCCTGGTGATGTGTAAACCATGTGACAAAACTTTCTCTCCCATTTTTTATTCTTGTGGGTATTGGACGGCTCTTCCCTCGTCCCAGGGTGAGCCATATCTGCAGGAATTGAAGCACTGTGGTTCTAAATGTACCACTTTAATATCTCCATCAAGAAGAGTCAACATTGAACTGTAATGCCCTATATCAGAAGGCCGACTTGATGAAAGGGCAGCATCCTGTATTAAGATTTTTTGATAGTAATTATTAAGGAAATGATACAAAACGTTAGTTTATAGTCTTGTGAACTTTCATGTACATATCTAGCACTGCATTGAATATTCAGCTATGTTTGCAGAAATCAGAGTAAGAGAATCGCCTCACCGTTTTCATCTTCGATCTCAGTGGGCCCGGTGAAGACGCGATTTAGAACTTTGACTCGTCCTCCGGGGCCATAGTGGGGGCCGTCGATTTTCCCTTCTTTGCAGAGTTTGGACAAGATCTGGGTGGGCTTCATGGGATCTCTCCACATATTATATCCATGTCTGTAAAGAGAACCAAGACTTTTTTTTTACCCTTTTCTTTCCCGTAGTTTCTAATGGATCTCTAAATATAACCCATTAAAAAGTCTGTGAAGGTTCTCATTCAAGGTTCTCATTCAAGGTTCTCATTCATCCAGGTCATGGTATATCTGCCTTGACTTTTTTTTTTTTTTTTTACAGATATAACCCATTAAAA